CTTTTCATATAATTATGTTACATTACATTATATTATTTTTATAATACTCAATTATAAGGCAATACTTGATCTGAACTGATAGTAACTAAGCAGTTTAGCCAATTAATATCAGTCAGTGGGTCTTAAGTTTTATAGAAGGTAACAATGACTTTACTTTTAACCATTCAGATTTGATTGGGGTAGTATAAAATATTGTTAAGTATATAAAGAAACTGACATTACCTCTAGTTTAGATTTTAAAACATTTTAACAGTACCTGAGTATTTGGAAAGCTGAAAGACTAGAAAGTTGAAAGAAAAATAATAAACTAAGTCAAACTTGTTTTATGGTTAGCTTACGATTGGCTGAGAGTTGCAGGTTTCCATTGTGCTCATAGCTGCTAATATCGACTGAACTCTTAAGACTAACTGGCTCATTTCTTATTTATTTATTTATTTATTTATTTTATTTATTTATTTATTTATTTATTTATTTATTTGATTTGATTTGCCAATTGTTTACAAGATAATAAGTATAAGTGTATACATAGTTGTGAATACATGAAATGGGTACATATAAGAAAAATAAAAGAAGAATAAGAGAAACAATAGGACAGGGACGGTAGGCACGTTGGTGCGCTTATGCACGCCCCCTACAGACCTCTTAGGAAAGGGGTGAGGTCAATAGTAGACAGTCTAAGGTTAAAGTTTTTGGGGTTTGGGGAAGAAACTACAGAGTCGGGTAGAGTATTCCAGACATTGACCACTCTGTTGCTGAAGTCGTATTTCCTGCAATTAAGTTTGGTGCGGTTAACTTTGAGTTTGTATCTATTGTGTGCTCTTGTGTTGTTATGGTTGAAGCTGAAGTATTCATTGACAGGTAGGACATTGCAATGTATGATTTTATATACCATGCTTAAATCAGACCGAAGGCGGCGTAATTCAAGGTTTTCTAGTTCTAGAATTTCAAGTCTGGTGGCATAAGGTATTCTACAACGAGTAGAGGAGTGGAGAACTCTTCTTGTGAAATATTTCTGGACTTTCTCAATTGTGCTAATATCAGATACGTAATGTGGGTTCCAGACTGATGAACTGTATTCGAGTATTGGTCTAGCAAATGTTTTGTATGCTCTGGTTAGTAGTGTGATATTACCAGAGAAAAAGCTACGTAGGATTAGGTTAACAACTCTTAATGCCTTTTTGGCTATGTAGTTGCAGTGGGCTCTAGCACTTAGATCATTAGAGGTGAGTATTCCAAGGTCCTTTAGAGCTTGGGTCATCAACAAGATCTTGACTATTCAGCTTGTATTTTATTTTCTGATTTTTTTTTTGCCAATATGTAAGACAGAGCATTTATTTGTTGAGATTTGAAGTTGCCATTTGTTTGACCATTCTGATACATAGTCAAGATCTTTTTGTAGGGTATCAGTATTGTCTGTGGTATTGAACAGCTTTACATCATCAGCGAAAAGAACGCAATTGCTCTTAATATGATCACAGAGGTCATTTATGTAGAGTATGAAGAGAGTTGGTCCTAGAACACTGCCTTGGGGGACACCACTATTGACAGGTACAGAATTTGATAGGACGCTCCCAATTTTGACCATTTGTTGTCTGTTTGCCAGGAATGCTTCTATCCAGTTATGCAGTTGTCCAGAGATACCATAGGATTTTATTTTTAGGAGTAGTTTGTCGTGTACCACTGAATCAAAGGCTTTACAGAAGTCTATGTAGATTGCATCTATTGCTTTGCCCTGATCGAGTTGTGTCGTCCATATGTTTTTGCAGTGTAAGAGTTGCAGATTACAGGATAGTTGTTTTTTTTTAAACCAAATTGTTTATTGGAGAGTAGGTTGTTTGTCTCTAAGTGGAGGATGATGGATTGGTTAATAATTGATTCCATGACTTTACAGGTGACGCAGCATAAGGAGATTAATCACTTTGGATTTAAGTTTTTATTTTCTGGCTTTGTTTAAACTTTAAGAACCTTAACACTGGCAAATTTTATTGAATTCACTAGGTTGAATGTCTTCCAATCCTTTTTTTAAAAATACAGTTTAAAGATTTAAGCACTGTATAAGTTTAAAGATTTGTATTTTTTGGGGGGGGGTTATACAGCAAGAGGATGATAGCTGTTGGCTTTGGAAAGTTTCTTTAATGTATCTCTTTATTTTGTAGCTGTATAAGTTTTATTTGCATAATATAAAAAAGGAGGGGTGGGGTTTTAGAGGATGGGTTTATAGAAACTGGGGAAGATAGGGAATGAAGAAATGTTTGCTTTTATTTTAAGAGTTAGTGATATGGTCTTAATGTTAGTGGGGCTGAAGGGGAAGATTTATTTTTTTTCTTTTCTATTTTTATCTTTTTATAAGTTTTACTTGTATTATATAATACCTAATGAAATTACTGAGAAAATGAAGAAAGTACAGGCTAAACATCCAGCAACTGAGACTAAGATCTAAATGAATGCTTATGAATAATTACTCTTTATTTCTTGAACCAAAGTTCTGAATTATAATATATGTAAATCTGTTTCATAGCATTAAATAATTTATTTTCTGCAGTATTTATGGCACTTACTTCTCCAAGAGATGATTGCCATTATTATGGTGATGAAGTATCTTTAATGAGTACAATTGTGTAACTGTACTCTAGGGAAAAATACTTCATGCAAAAGTATAGCTTTCAAGTACCATTAAGAGATACCTTTAGCTATTTTACAAGAAACAGTAATTCTACTTGATGAAAGTAATCCAAAATCTAAAATCATCCATCCATCCATCCATCTCTATCTATCATCTATCTATCTATGCAAGATAATATCTGCATCTTGAGAAAGTATTGATCAGACATGATTCTACTTTGCTATCTTTGGCAGCTTCTAGAAAAGAAGACCTAGATGCGCCATAAAATTAATGTTATTACTTTGTCTAGACACTCAGTTCAAATATGACACTCTGCTGCAAATATTACAGGCAAATCACTTAGGTGTTTTCATCGAATAATGAAATTCTGTACATCTCTAGGACCTCCTAGAATTAAAGCACAATGCACAACAGCCTTTTTTCTCCGTTTTGCATGGATGCCTTTTCAAAATTAACTTGCACAACCATGAGTACATGGTTTGAAATATATTGAAATATATTTTCAATCCTTTTTTTCAGAACTGAATATTAAAAGAGCTTTTGGTATTGAAAGAAACTTTTAAAATATCTTATTCAAGTAACATAATTTCTTATAATAGTTTAAGAATTACTCACTTAAAAAGGAAAACAGCATTGGTTTGAGGATGATAGGAATAATTTTTTTAGCCCTTTAAGGGGAATATTTTCATCTGTTGTTTTAATATTTCTATTACAGCTTAGTTATATTTTCCCAACAATTCCACAAGGATATTCTGTTTTGGTAAAGCCTTATCAACTTCAGTTTTGCTTAAGTTTTAAAAGTTTTATCTATGTGCATCACAGGGCAACCATTTTTGAATCAAGACACATCATCAGATAGGCTAATATATGGCTCCCTCTCCATTTATTTGACCTCAATACACTTTGCATTTAGAAAATCTGTGCAGATGTTTATCTTTCACTAAGTTTTTTAACATTTTTAAAACTTTTTAGATTGAAGACCGAGTATACATTTAATTATCCATGGCTCATTAAATAATTAATGCACAAATTTATCTCATCTGGCTGTTCAGTGGAATGGAATAGTGAGATCATTAATCTATTAATAATAGTTGTACAACTTTGCCTACATGATTGTGACCATCGTGACTATTATTCCTAAATAAAAGTGGTGCTATTAAAGATCTATTATTTGTTTTCCTAAAAACTACATAGATTGGGAAAACATCTTGTTTTTCAATGTTTAAATTGGGTGTCAGATTTACATGTAATATTTTTAATTCGTTATTATTATTATAATATATTAATATATATAACATGGTTTGGCAAGTCCTAGAATTCCTGAAGCAGTATCTCAGGTAGGCACAATTTATGAAATAAATGTACATATTATATGAAACATGAATAGAAATAGCTGCTTTCCAGGGTAGTTATGAAACATGTTGAGGGTACAGTATTTTTGGCATTATTTAGTTCATTGTTTATTAAATTGTGGTCCTAAACCCCTGTGAGTCCTCCAAGACTTTCTCAAAGTTTCATGAAATTACAATTAATTGGCAGCCTATTTTGAAAAATAATAAAATATTAAAATCCTATCAAACAATCGTAAGAAGCAATATTGGGAGTGGATGCATCTATAGGGTAAGGATTGGCAGAACCTAGGAGTGGAGTTAAAAGAGGGATCAGCCTAGAATCTCAATGTAGCCACAAATGAGCTTAGTCCAATCCTCCCCAAAACAAAATTCTGTTGAACCTTATCTAACTCCTAGAAGGTGCTAACCTTTAATTGAAAATATTACTGTGGATAGGTATAAATCAATTTAATTGGACCTTCACCTATGGACCTGATCTTTTGGACCTGTCAACATCAATTTTGATACTCTAAATTTCAATTAATATAGTTCCAAACAAACAAAAGTTCTTTTGGATTCTTCCATAGTTTTTTTAAAGTGAACAGTGGTCCTGGGAGAAAAATAAATCCCTTTAAGAAACATTTACTTGAACAAATTAATAAATATATCTAGTCTATTTACTTCTTTGTGCACATTATAAATAATTATCTGAAAGATTTTGATTGATTTTGGAGTACGATTGCAGGACTTTACAGCTGCCAATCATTTCTTTATAATATGTTACTCAATAATTAATTTTAGAAAGCTGAATAATAATGACGAGTAGCTGCAAAGTTCCAGAGAGATTGCATTCTGATAATTTATGAAAAGATTTCAAATAAAAAGTGATCTTCAAAAAAAAACAAACCCTGAAGAATGAAACACATACTATGTGTAAGTTTGTTTGTTTTATCTAGAAGTTGTTTATCTAGAAGTTGTTCCTGATTACATTTTTTTAAAGTCACACAAAACTCAATAGCAACAGAAGTTGTATTTTCATACATTACCTCTCACTTTCCTTTATGATCTCTTTTCCTTTCTTCCAAGTAAAAGTTGGCCTTGGAGAAGCTTTAGGCTTACATTCAATGGTTGCATCACTACCAACTTTAACAAAAGTTATTTTTTTTAAGAAGTTTTTGGAGAAATCTGGACCGACAGCTGAAAGATAACAGAGAACTCAGAATTAGTGAAAACTGCCATCAAATTGTCTTGAAATAAATGCTGAATTTATTCTGAATTCTCTTAGAATGTATCATTATTGGTTTATGTTATGATATGTACAGAATAACCCTTGAGTAACAAGGATATGCACATAGAAACGTTTATGAGAGTAGTTATGAATAATTTATTCAGCCACACACAGATACACTAAATTGAGTTAAAGTTTACTTTAAGAAATAGCACAGTCCAATAAATGGTCCAGGTCATATACTTTTACCAGTCCAAAGAATATCCAATTACAAAGTCTTCTTACTGGTTGCCTTTGTCATTTACAGTAAACAAAAATATCAAAGTATAAGCACAGCATACATACAACAGAGAATCTTAGACAGCAACAGAATGTCACAGAGAGCAAGCTATGATCTCTAGCTCCCTCTTATGGTAATTTGCAATATAATCAACCAATTGGAATATAGTATAAATCAATACAGTGATTTTGTCTTAAAGCTACAAACATACATTGTTGGTTTATATATTGCCAACTCAACTAATTGGTGTACAGATTCCTAACAGTTTACATAATTAACCTTTAGAATATCCCCAAACCATAGTTAAAAGAGATAAATAAAACAAGTAGGACATCAGTTTTCAATAACTAATTCGTTTGGTACATTCTCTCTATTCCTGAAAAGGTATTCCAGAGGTTGACAAATCAGCTAGGACAATGAACATTGTGTTCCGAATAATCACTGAAAAGGGTTGTAATCTTGCACCAATTAAATGTTGGATGGAAAACAATGTGATTATGAAATACATGTTAAATTCCGTGATAGTAAACATTGGATGTGGTTCCCTAGGAATTTCATGACCTTCATGGTTGCTTATGATAATAACTTGCTTATGAACTTGCGTATCACAAATCAAATAATACAGCCAGAACTTTCATCAGTCCCACTTGAAATTCCCCCACCTCCACAATAGCAATTCATATCTCTGTGCTTTGCCTCCATCCTTGCAAATAAAATTACAGATTAGGAGATGACAAATAACACCTATGAATGAATGAATGAAACAAAATGGTAGATGGACTACAGAATTAAAGCCTTGACCCTTTTTACATGCTTGTGATGCATATTTAAAAGGCATGAAGCTTCCTTCATCTTCATTTTTTTTAACCCTAAACCCATAGTCACCCCTAGGATTAAAATGATGTGATTCATCTAGTATTATTAAATCTTCCACATTCCCTTTTTAAATGCATACTAGTCCTATACCTCTATATGATCCTTTTCCCATATCCAGTTAATGTCTGCATTGTGCCATCTTATTCACTTTTATATCTAAATATGGTTTCACAAAGGACGTGATGGTTCAGTGGCTAAGACACTGAGCTTGTTGATCAGAAAGGTCAGCAGTTTGGTGGTTTGAAACCCCAGAGCCATGTAAAGGAGTAAGCTCCTGTCACTTGTCCCAGCTTCTGCCAACCTAGCAGTTCCAAAGCATGTAAAACTGCAAGTAGAAAAATAGGGGCCACCTCAGTGGGAAGCAAACAGCATTCTGTGCGCCTTCGGTGTTTAGTCATGCCGGCCACATGACCACGGAGACATCTTCAGACAGTGCTGGTTCTTTAGCTTTGTAATGGAGATGAGTACCTTTACCTTATGGTTTCGCAAATTAACAATTATTTAATACGCCCATAGGAAGCATTTTTCCATTCAATTTTGTTGAGGTGGAGAAGGGGAAATTGTTCATTCCTTTCTCCTATCCAAAACTGATTTTTCAGAAGCTGACTGCACAGTAGCTTAGCTCCTAAAGAGTTATAAGGTAGTGAGGCAATAAATGAGTTGGGTAGCTTCTGGGGCCGAGGTTTGGAGAAAAACTTTTCTCCATAATTTGTTTCTAGGTGATTAGTAAGAGATCTATTCTTTATTTTCCCTGATGTAATATGAATCAACTTTTCTTCAATAGCTGCAGGGTCCACAATGGCAAATGAACGTTTATCATATCAAGCATCTAGCGAGAGAAAACTGGTCTAGCATTGAGTAGTAATAATGATTTAAACAGCCACTGAAAAACATGAGCTCAAGGATGTTTTCCATCAGATTTACGGGCTCACAGTATAAGTGATCCATCACACCATCACAGAATCACTTAGGAGATTGGAAGACATTATGCCTGAACATCAAGTGGCAAAGATAAAAGCTGTGAATAATGTTGTGAATGAGGAGACAGAAAGATATCATAGAAAAGAATTACAATTAAGTCTTTTTTTCTGTATTAGGAAAAAGGCAGACACCAGTATTACCAGAGAGACTGTAGTTACTTCATTCAAAGTGAAGTAGAGTATGTCGTTGTATGTGCTCTCTAATTAAAAATCTTCTAAATATAATAGTCTTTTTCCCTGCTGTGCTTTCACTGTACATCTTTATATTTAATATTTAATAACGTCAGGTCATCTAATCATTTCAGGGATTTTTTTTTTTGCAAGATGGAAATATATTTCTGGGAGCTTTATACCATGGCTCAATAACCAATGATTAAAACACTTAAAAATGATTTCCTAATATAGAATGCCACTTAATTCAGCATCTGGGGAAAAAAAATCAAACTGAACCAAATCTAAAAAGGCCTGTCTTCTAGAAAAAAAAATCTATGTTATCATAGAACAGTAACACAGATGCAAAGTAGCCCTTCAGTATGAACATTTCCTTCAATTTATACTTTTGATATTTGGGGGTATTCATAGATGGGGACAGAATTCTTATTTCCACTGAGGAGAGGCTGGCAAAATGTGCCTCAAACCTTTATTGCCCTCAGTAGAATTAAATTCATGTGCTCTCTAAAAGTCCAAATACAATTTTTTTCTCCAAATTAACTGACAACCACAACTGAGCCCCAAATGTGTTAAGTGAGACATTTGTTAAGTGAATTTTGCCCCATTTATGACCTTTCTTGCCACAGTTGTTAAGTGAATCACTGCAGTTAAGTTAGAAACACAGTTGTTAAGTGTATCTGTCTTCCCCATTGATGTTGCCTGTCAAAAGATTGTAAAAGGTGATCACATGACCTTGGGACACAGCAATGGTCATATGTATGAACCAGTTGCCAAGTGTTTGAATTTTGATCACATGATCATGGGGATACAATAAAGGTTGTAACTGTAAAAAAATGGTCATAAGTCACTTTTTTCAGTGCCGTTGCAACTTTGAATGGTCACTAAACGAACTGCTGTAAGTCTCCCTGTACAAACAAAATGCAAACTTATGTTCAAAATCATTTTGTTTAATAAGGGGACATACCTTCTCTGCAACTAGCAAATCAGCACTATATTTTCATTATAATGGATCTCCTTCAATGGTTGTTCCTTAGCAACTACTTTTCTTTTGTGGCAGACATAATGGCAAAACTAGGACAATATTGATATTGCATGGAGATGTTGCATTTTGAAAATATTTAAACTGATAGACCTATCTAGCTTGTGCAATAATTTTCTCAAGCATAGTTTTCTAATAAAAAAAACCTAGTTTTGTTATCTCAAGAATACATCTTTAGCCTCATTTAGTATCAGATAAAAACTTGAATTTTATTTCCAATACTAGGCTTCAAAAGGAATTCTTTAAGTGATACATAGCAATTCCTCAATTTTTTATGACTACAATTGAGTCCAGAATTTCTAAATGAGTTAGAAATTCTTGCTAAGTGAGACAGTTGTTAAGTGAATGACTGAAAGTGTTAAGTTAGTAACCCCGGCTTTAAAGTGAAACTGAATTTGCTTGTCAAAAGATTGCAAAAGATTATTACATGACCCCAGGACACTGCAACTGTCGTAAATAACCAGCATCTGCCAAACATCTGAATTTGGATTATATGACTATAAGGATGCTGCAACGATTGTGTGAAAAAGGGTCACAAATCACTTTTCCCAGTGCCTTGTAACTTTAATTGGTTACTAAACAAACTGTTGTAAGTCAAAGGCTACCTGTATTCCAATGCATGGTACTCTAGTGAGAATCATAAAAAATCCTGGAAAAAGATGAATGTAAAATGGAAACTATTAGTACTGAGCAGACTACCAAATCAATGTGTTTAAAAGAAATCCATTGTAAGATTTGGATATATGGAGAATATATGCACATTTGTTTGACAAGAACTAAGATTTTTAGATTGCCAGTGGCTCAAATATCAAATAATAATGATGGCTATCTCCTAACAAAATTAAATTAGGCTCCAATTTCCCTTTACTTTGTTATGCAATACAGAATATATCATATTGGACAAATGATATTTGTGCACATACCGTAGTTTCGTTGAATGATTATTTCATTTAAAAATAATTCCTTAAAGATACATCTTTTATAACAAAAGATTGATCTGTATGGGAAAAAATACTTTCAGGTCTATCTCATTATATTAAGAACCTATAGACCTTCTCCTCATTTAGCAATCATTGCCCATTCCAGCAATTTTGTTACTAAATGAAATAGGAGGGAGGGAGGGAGGGAGGGAGGATGGGAGAGAGAGAGTGAGAGAGTGAGGGAGGATCCAGATTGTTGGGAGTAATATGCTGACTATATGAGTCTACGTGTTATTGCTGCCATTTCATTTAGATAAAGCTCTCTTGGGCAGCTATGCCAGAAGTACTCGCAATCTGGTGTCAGGCACATCAAATTTAGTCATAAGTGTATGCATTGGTTGGGAAATGTTTTTTTTTTTAAATTACTATTGTGTTTGCAAACGGTTTCTAAAGAAGGTAAAGAATTATTGACTGCTTTTTAATGTTTTTTTTCCTAAGTTGCATTTTATCAAAAACTATAGTTACAATCATTATATTTGGGACTTCAATAGCTTGCACACAATAGAGAAAAATAAAAAGCTAGTTGCACAAATTGATTGTGCTTTGAAAACCATACCTTTTTCAAAGGAATATTTGCCTATGAATATACATTAAAATGAAATTATTTCTAGAGCTGTGGATCATTGTGACTTTTTTAAAATGCAGACCTCTTCCTCTTGACAATTTCACTTTCAAAATACCATTAATATGTGAAATTTCCCCCCTCCCCCGGGGTTTGAATACATTTCATTTCCTGGTTTTGTTTTCTAAGCAAAAACTACATCAAGTTGGGAAAGTTTGAGATCAGATGAAAATGGCCTATCCTTTTCAAGTTAGTATATATCTTAAATAATTGGATCATAGCAAGATCTAGCTACTGCAGCTCTGTGATTGCACAGTCTTATCTTATCTTCCTTAAGACTTCCACAAGACTGATTTCTTTAATATGGATGTCTGGAAAAATGTTGTGCATTTTATCCACTCATTCTAGTATGTTTAATTTTTTTTCAACTAATTAGGAACTGTTGTGTATATCGTGTTACCTTTGTAACAATAAATGTAGAAATATTCTTCTAATTTTCATTGTTATGTCTTTATGCTTAGACAAAAAAATTTATAGGTACTAGAAACAATTTAACACAAGACAAAATTGAACACTTTTACATTATACATAATTTGTATTTCTATAAGTATACTGTACAATAATATACTATAGGTAGTCCTGACTTACATACTGTCTCATTCATTGACTATTCAAAGTTACAACGGTGTTATCTCTTAGTCATATGATTATTATTATAGTCAGTACAAACTGACCTGTGTCTGACCTTTGTTTTTTTTCCCCCTGCAGAGAAAGAGACTGGATAAGAAGAGCTTAAAAGAGAGGAAGAAGGTCCACTAGAGATATTAAAAGGGCTGGCACTGGTAGCTATGAGTTTATACAAACATGAATATGCAAACAGCCTAGTGAACTCTTAATTCTGTTCTTGCTTATTCTCTTCTAATCCATTTTTTCTCCAATCCCTCTCCTTGAAATGAAGGCATAAAAAACAAGCAAGTTTTATAGGCAATCTCTCTTGTGCTTGATCCCCACCCCACCCCACCCCAAACAGGGATATTTGATAAGAAGGAATTAGAAGAGAACAAGTAGGCAGAGAGTATGGACTACACCAGCCTGTTTGCATAGTGGTTTGTGACTGTCAACCCCAACACATTGCTTTCGATGGATATTCCCCATTATGTGCCTGCATACTCTTTTACAATCCCTTCCTCTCCAATGAATGCAAAAACAAATATAATTTTCTTTCTTGTTAATTATCCCAGTGCTAGAGTAAGCATTCAAAAGGGTGAAGAATGGTTTAGAGGAAAATAAAAGCTAAAGGTGTAAAATGATTGGTCTTGTCAGTTTTAAGCCAGCTATCCCTGTGCTGTCTAAGGGGTCTAGCAATGGGGAAAAGGAGAACACAGTTGGGACAACGTGATTTCACACTTAGTGAACACTTCATTCAGCAAAAGAGTTGCCCCTTCCAATCATGGTTACTAAATGAGAACTCCCTGGAGTAACTTAATAGATTTTGAAGGCATCCAGAGTTTTCTTTAGATTCCTTTTATATGAAATAATCTTATATGAGATAAAACTTTCCAGTATGGATCCTATTTTGCTGAACTCTATTGCTCTTCCTTCCCAAAGAAGTGGAAAGATGTGTTTTTCCCTGAAAACATCTATTGGTTTAAAAAAAATGAGCAAAAATTAAAATTCTGCTTATGAAATATTTTAAATATTTTAAATCTTCTGAGCAGATAAAATTTATGCTGCTGAACATTCTTTTTCAAACTTAAAAATCTACTCAAAATTTTAAAAATGAGACATATTAGAGGATCCAATCTGGGTCAGTCACTGGGACCAGAATTTTTTATTCACCTGAGATTTCGGACTCATGCTGAAGCCCATCCTCAAGGAACTTCTCTGTATGCTTTGGACCAAGGGTCGCCAACCTTTTGGATCTCAGGGACCACCAAACTCATACTTTTAAATCCCGAGGACCACTAATACGAATTTTTTTAAAAAGCTAATATATTTAATATATTTTTTATGTGTATAAAAAAATTAATATATTTTTATATATATACACATATGTTTTCTTAAGTTTCTGCCAAAACGTTGCTACAACTTTAAAAGCACAAGTATAATGACGTGGGAAAATACCCGAACAAAGCTGAATACCATACATATAAATACCCACGAAAACAAACAAACACACACACACACACACATATGTTTTCGTAGATTTTCACGGGTACAGGTATGCAAGTCTTGGCGTGTTCGGGTCTTTTCCCATGTAAGATTGAGAGCATCTTGGCATCTGTGCACGGCTCCGTCTCCCTTTCCTTTCCTGCCTGCATGTGGGCGGGGGGAAAGAGGAAAGAGCCAGGAGCAATTCAAAGCTAGAGAACTAATGGGGAAGAGCTGACAGCGGGTGTAGGAGCTGGTTGGCGCGTGCATCTCAGGGGCCTGACTCCACGATCCCTTGGAGAGCCGGGAGGCGCATGAACTACGTGGCCCAGATTAATTGATTTTGGGGGCCATTCTGTGGCCCACCAAAAATTTTCCACAGCCACCAGTGGGCCACGGCCCACCGGTTGGTGACCGCTGCTTTGGGCTGTTCTCTGTATGGTATTGACATGGTGGCCTTTTTATTGAATCTTAGGTTTGTTTCACCTAATAGGTTTCTCACAGCGGCACAAGTAACACAACCATATTTAACAATTGTTAATAGGCGTAAAAGCAAAAAGAGGGTAAAATTAATAAAGTGAGGTTGCAGAATGAGCCAGCGGGCTCAGATCTTTTGTATTGATTTTAAATCTTCTGAGCAGATAAAATTTTTAAAATTTCTTTTAAAAATGAGACATATTAAAGGATCCAATCTGGGTCAGTCACTGGGACCAGAATTTTTTATTCACCTGAGATTTCGGACTCATGCTGAAGCCCATCCTAGCAATCGTTTTCTCAAATGATTCTTAAACAACTGGTAGATAGATTGTTTGTGGCCAAATGCAGAAAATTTACATAAAATTTACATATTATGTGCTTACATAATAGTGGCGAGTCTATGACAAACATGTCAATGGTTGACATACCAGCATTTACTTGCACTAGGCCACAACTATTCTCCCCCAAATACAAGAAGTTAGCATTTTCTGAATTTTGGCACTCCAAGCCCAAAAGGTTTGCCATAATTGCACTAAAGCCTTCTAAAAAACCTTTCATGTTCTGAAGGCTTCAAAAATCATTTGGAATAAATTGTCACCTAAGAAGTTTTGGATGCTGTATGACAGGAGTGTCCAACCTTGGCAACTTTAAGACTTGTGGACTTCAACTCCCAGGTGAACTTTGCTGGCTGAGGAATTCTGGGAGTTGAAGTCCACAAGTCTTAAAGTTGCCAAGGTTCGACACCCCTGCTGTATGACAACAGGACCTCTCTGCTATTCCTTAAAATAGCACCGCTCTTTTTAGGAAATAAAGAGGTGCTATTATTTTAAGGAATAAATTAAATAAAGTCATCCTGACTCTTTAAGCAGCAGAGCTGTTTTGGGGATTCACAAAGAAGTCTGAAAAAAGTCAAACCACTTTAGGGGATAGAGGGATATGATCCCTTTTATGGATCATATTTGAAGTGTGCAGAGAACCAATTCCGTGATCAAACTCTACCCAGATGGGTCCATTTTTGCTGATCCTCCCATCCTCCAGTATCATTTTTAGCTATAGCAGGATAAATATTTCAAACAATTTGCAAATATGCAGACACAAAATTACAATAATTCTTGTTTGGTATTTCAAAGCATGTAAAACAAACTCACCAGGTTGTAAGAAAAGATCTTGTCCTTGCCCAGTTAGATAAATTAGATAAAAAAGATCTTGCCCAATTAGGATAAATCCACTAAAGTGTCAATTGATCCCTTGCCAGAACCTGTTGAGGTTTTACTCTAGTCGTTTAATAATCCATCATTGAATTATTGCTGTCCAGATAAACACTACACTCAACTCAGGCTTCAGTAATCACATAAAGATAGAACAGAGACCATAAGGCTATATGCAACTCTTAAGCATCTCTAAAAGTTGTCATCGTATCTATAATTTAATATTAAAATTGTGTTTATGAATGCAACAGAAGAGACTGATTAATAATTGCTATACACAGGGAACAATCAAATAATTGTTTTTAAGTGAATTAAATATAATCAATTCAAATCTTTTATTATTGAGTTATTAGAAAGTTTTACAGTAAGTAATAAAATAATTGCAAAATGCAAAAAGAAAGAAAAGAAAAAAGGAAAGGAAAAAAGAAAAGAAAGAAGAAAAGAAGAAAAGAAAGAAGAAAGAAAGATTCCATAAAAACTACAAACAAAAAAGATAAGCAAGCAAACAAATAAAATAGAAAAGGGGAAACTATAGATATGTGTATCACATTAATCAAATGTCAGCATATGTTCTAAAACTGAGTTTGTATATGTGTTTGTATCTGTGTTCACATGCAGTGGATCCCACATGTCCATCTTTATGTTAGATAATAATATACAATAAACTTCTTTTGTTGCAAAGAAGCAAATCGTTGTTCTAAAAATAAATAGTAGTAAAATATGATATAAAACATTTCACATATAGAAGCAATCATTCCCACTAACTTTCAAAAAATGCTTTGGATCAACTTTTCTGCAATTTAGTTAATATTACATTAATTAATGACTTTATTAGAGGTAATAAAACAATTTAATGCAATAGAAACTTTTCAATAGCTTTTAAGTAAAAGGAGCCCACCAATTACGCTCAGTTCTGCGCTGACATAGATGACTCCATATCTATTTTCTGCCACACATTGATACATGCCAGTGTCGGAGAGATTCACGCTGGGAATGGTAAGTGTTCCATGTTCTATCTGAAGTCTTTCCTGCAAAATAGTTAAATGAATAACATAAATGTAAAAAAAAATGTTCTTAGGCATTTATATATTCCTGCAATGACATTACTTTAAATGTCAAACAGGTAGGTGGTGTCAATACTAAAGTTGAAAAAAAAACCAAATTCATAAATAATTGGTGTAATGGAATCTTTGCTAACAAAATTCAAATCATCTTAAAGGGGAAAAGCAATACTGAATTGTGATTAATACCAAAGTTCGTTCTTGTTCTCAGTAATGGGGCATCTGAACTATTTTTGATTAATAATTCTTTGAAGCCCATTTACCTGAATCTAAAACTACAGTGGTCCTATGGCATGTTATAGCCTAACTCAGCCTGACATATTCTTTAGAAATTCAGCTTTCTTTTCCCTTGAAAGTTAATGGGAAAGTAAGCAGGTTCAGTGGGGCAAAGCAGTTGTATGCACCCCACTAGATTAAAATTTTTATACCCCAAAGATATAAATAATAATCTTTTAATAACCCTTATTTCAGTTTAATGTGGTTTAAATTCAGAACCATCTGCTAGTGATCAGCATGAAGAAAGTCACATTAGCACATGGCACAAAAGAATGGGCAATCAGGGTTCAGCCTAAAGGATAAAGAACTCACAATACCAACAACAACAATAAAAGCAGCAGAGTGCTTCTCTACACAATAGGAATGTGTGTTTTAGCAAATCTTAACATGTAACAAATATAATCTTTAAAAGATGTTGGGCTCCTTCTCACAGGTGGAGTTGAAATGTAATGTTGTATAGTCTTTATTTTATTGAATCTAGGCAACAACAGTTTCACAACATGCAGGTGACAGCAATTTGCAATTTGTTTAGTTTTTGCCCTTAAAATTGAGACAATCAAGGGCTGGAATGATCTCCTTTGGTGAGATTAGAAATAGACGGGCGCCGATGAAATCTTTTCCTTTCTTTCTATAGCTCATTAATCCTTAGATAGTTCTGTGTGACACTGCTAATGGTAAGTCAATTCCCTCCTTGGCCATGTCAGCAGAGGTCCATAGAAGTGAAACGGATACAGACTAGAGAGCTTGTTTACATTCCATAAAGTTCAATTAAAACTTACATGCTAAAAAACAGGAGAGGAAAAAAGGTTTATAGCCTGAATAGCTATATTCCCATTTTTGCTTTTCACAGTTAGCACTTAAGAGAGGTTTTGTTCCAGGCGATATTTCGTTTGCCTGTGGCGTCACAGCAATTGAAAAATGTGCAGCCATTTTATGTATCTTTCTTCTCCTCAAAGCAAATATGCCCTGGAAAGGAATCCCACAGCTTCTCAGTTCCAATTGATTCTGTGAAATGTTTGTCAAAGGGAGAAAATGGCACTTAAATACCTAACATTTGCTGAACATTGGTTGAAAATTAGGTGCTCCAGAGTGATTCTTGTCTTTCAAAAAGTATGACTTGAATGACATTGTTTTAACTATATGGAAAGCTCAAGGTAATCTTGTGACATTCACTCAGCACGACAACAAGTCTTGCAATGGGACAGATGGAACCTTAAGACTATGTGGTTTCTGCTGTTTTTATTTTTTAGTAATGTTGAAAACAAATCCTTGCAACTTAATCCCCAACCTCAGAGCATCCATATTTGGAAGATTGCTTGTACCTGAGGGAGAAGAAGTTCACCATCCTTCAGCCAGCTATAAGAAGGCTTCGGTCTGCCATTTGCCTTACATTCCCAATAGATACTTTCTTCTATAGCCACCTGAATATCACTTATTTTCTGATTCCAGTTGGGAGGAGCTGTAAGGAAGAGTACAGGGATATTTATCTGAGTAACATTTATTTCTTCTCTTCTATGATTGTACAAATAAATCTATTCCAATGGATGCTTTTCTTAAAGAAAAGAAATGTGATTGCTATTTTTCCATGAAAACAGTTTATATATAATCTTAAAAAAAATGACTTTAGTCACTTCTATACATTGAAGATATACAGCATGAAGACTGCAATGGTGTAGTGGGATTGTTTAACCTGGGTATATCAGCTTTGATGCCTGCTAACTGGCTGGACAAGTCTGCAGTTTTATTGGCAAGATTTTTAAAGTAGCTTACCACTGCTCTCTTCCTAGGACTAAGAGAGAATGTTTGGCCAAGTTCACCTAGCTGGTTTTGTGCCTAAGTTGGGACTAAAACTCACATTCCCTTGGTTTCTAACATGGTGCCTTAACCACTGTCCCAAACTGGCTTTCATGGGTATATCTACTGTATACAAGCAATTAATCTAATAATCTATAATGATATTTGTAATAATGCAATAAAGCAGAATCTCTGAGATATCTGAGGGGAAAAAACCAAATCTGTTGAACCAGTAAACATTTGTCTTGCTTTATTAACGTTATCTATACATGTCAATTATTTCTACAGATAATTTTTTTGTTATGCATATGATTTGCAAGATAAAGAGTGCACAAAAGTACAAAATATTTCATTATATGAGGGGGAATAAAGCTCCCTCTGAAATCTATATTGCAATATATCATACATGGATCAAATCCTTTAGAATATTATTATTAAACTGGAAATATTAAGACAACAATAGTGCCCCTTGAAAAATGATTTGCGAGGCTATATTTAGGTTGTAAGTAACAGAATGTGTTTATTAAACTGTTGTGTTTATTAAACTGTTATTTTCAACAGTTGTTTCAATCTTAAAATTATAATTTGTACAGGCAAACATAAACAATAGAAGAGTAGTATGGATGTGGAAAAAAATAGTAAAAACTAATTTAGCATTAGAAGAAAACAGCAGTTTAAATGTGATAAAAAATTAAATTGGATTGTGCAAACCCAAAAACAGCGATAAGGATTGTGAAAATACACAATCATAGGATCAAATTAAGTCATCTTCTTTTAATGACTGCATAATTCCTTGTGGGGTGGAATATGGGCAACTGAATGGAGCTAAGTGTTTACTGGCTGGATGCCCTTCCTGTTGCCAATGCAGAGTTATATTCAGCAGATATATATTCTCATCATGCCCAGAGAGAGGAATATCTGCCTCTACCTAGGATTGAACTCACAGGCTCCTAATTGTGAGGCAAGAGCTCTACCTCTAGGCCACTGTACCACTCATAAGGTCAAAGTAGAACTTAGAACAAAATCAGAAAATACTTTCTGTGAATCTGAATTGTAAATAAATGGGCAAAATCAAGCCACTTTAAAATCAACAGACTTTTTTTTCCTGTGGATTTACATGGCTACTCTTGTGGTTGGTTATATTTTATAGTTCCATTATACACTGTATCTAACTATTTGCAGGTAAATAATATAAAGTAGGTTTCGGAAACATGTATCTTAAAATTAAAAGACTATCATTACCTTGATTGCAAGCAACACAAATCCTGATGAATAATATGGGGTATTTTAAAACAACTAGACAATTAATTATTCTATAAAATGGGAAATAATTAAGGTCCATATAAATATTTGTAATCCATAACAAAAATATGAGGATATATGTATAATACCAGCAGAGGTCTCCAATAAACTGGATATTTTATATTATTACATCTGTATTTAACCAGATAAAAGAATGCCAAATTAACAACTTAAATTTTATCAACATGAAGCTATAATTTTAAATCCATCTCTGTTTTCAACATTTCTTGTTGGATAACAATAATTCTCAAACAACAAAAATACATTTTAATAGTTCTGTAACTCTTAACAATACTCATAACACTTTTTATCACATGCTAGACAGATGCAAGCAACAAGAAAAATATATCATAAAGAAAAGTTTAAGACCTTTTGTTCACAACTAATTTGATTATTATAATTTTGTATTATCATCTTAATTTTGGACTGAATTGTTATTTTGCATCTATGGACTCTCACAAAATTTAATTTATTTTTTCTCTTCCTTGGAATTGGCTAGTGTAACTATAGAAATTCTGCTTTAAAATACTTGGGTTTCACTTTCTTCTTGTTTACTTGGCTCCATTAAGCCAGGTATTTATTTATTCAATTTGTTTAATCTTCTGCAATCAAGAAAAGCCAAGGGCCATTGGTCTCTCTTGTTTGTTAAAAATAAACATGATCTATTAAAATGATTTAAAAATTAGCCTGCAAGGAGGAGGAATGGCAATGTTAAAGAGTAAAATAAGTTTTATGTCTGATTGCTGACAGACAGCTAATAAGATTTTTGTGGTGACCTTAATCATGCCTTGACTTGAATCAATATTGTTATGTCTTCCTTACAAGTATATGAACGTTAGGCAAAATTAATTGACCAATAGTGTTTAGGCAGCCTAAAAGTGGACATTTAATGTTTAGGTAAAGGATCTTTTCATATGGCAACAGTCCAGCAAGACTTTAGCTTTTTGAAATAACACTACTATCTCTCTACTTTCTGATCTGCTACTAAATTAAATACTAAAAAGCATTCTGTTCATGGTACTTGATTGCTTCACAGTGTCTCAATTTATATACACTGTGCTCACAGAAAATTTTACCATATCAGTCACACTTCATAATGTTCAATACTCTCATTATGCACACATTCACACCAAAGGAATGTAGAATGAGCTACTTTGACTTTTCTGAAGCTCTGGCTAGAGATGCAATCAGTTTTTTCCCCCTTTTGGAATGTATACAATTGCAGTCGTTCAAAATCACTCTTGATGCAGTTTCAAAAGTTCAGGATCAGGTCTTCCAAAATTAGCTCAAATCATTTCCATGGGACTCATAAGCGTTCCCACTGTAGTTCTAGCTGAAATACAAATCTTTGTCACTGACTTTTAAGTTTAAGGAGACTAAAACTAGAATTTGGGTTAGTGTCATTTATTTATAACTATAGTATAAAAGATGAAATTTGGCCTGCATGAAAAAAAAGTGTTATTCACATCAACAATAAAAAAAAAATACTAAAGTGAAAAAGTAAAACTTTAGAATACTATAGTAACTCATTTATATTCTAGGGAAAGATCAGATTTCATAATATCTTTAAGTCTGAAGACATCGGAGAAGAAAAACAATCTTTGTGGCACCTTTGTGAGTAGCAGTGCTAGGCCTAAAATTCATCCAAAGCTGGAGACACAGAATTGGCATCCTAGCCATATGGCTGAAAACGAGCAATTTTATGGTACAATTTCCATGGAGAAAGAAATCATGAAGGCATTCAAAGCTAAAAAAAAATGCTGTAATGATGGATGCCTTTGATCAATCTCATGCAGTCTCAATAAATGAAAAGAAATATGTTCCTAGACATTCTCAATGATGGTTACTAAAAGACTGGCTGTGAAACTAATGAGAAAAATGAAACTGGAGGGTTGCATTGCCAGTGGGCTAAATTTGGTGTAAGTTGTAAGCATTGCTATTCCAACTAGGACAAAATTATTTATTGGTCCAAATTGATCATTAAAATGTTATTCTTTCGGGTCTATTTTAACTTGACCACTCTTCCCCCCCTTTTGGCAAGATTTTGCATTTTGCAAAATGGTAGCTCCTTTTTGGCATTTATAAACATTGAAATTAAGACTTCTGAATTAAGAATAGGAAGGAAAGGAAGCTAGAATGGTGGAGGTCTTTTCTGCACCAGTTTGTCTGAATCTTTAATCCAATCAATGGAAAACAAAATAAAACTGTTACTTTCTGTGATTTGGAAAGTATACATCTAAAACTGCATTTACCTTTTTGCTTACTGCAGGGTTTCTAGTAACTCAAATTAAGGTTCAGATCAATTCCAATTTGGAGGTCCTTCAAATTGTTATAAAGCCAGATATTCCCCATCCTATACTTTTGAGTTTTTCCCATCACTTTGTGATTATTAGTCATTAATGAAATGTTAAAGAGTATTGGATCCAGAAATGAATCTTATGGTATCACTTTTAGCATCACAGTCTGATTTTATAAGGAGTTGTTTCTGAGCACTCTTTAGTTTGGTTTTCAAGCTACTTATAAATGTCACAAACATGTTTTCAAACTGCCTATGGATGTTATCAACCCATTATTTAAGTGGCTTGCTAATCTGACAGGTATACATCCCGGTAAGTAAGTACTTCCTGATTATGATTCTTTCAAGCTGAAATTGTAGTTCTACTCCTAAAGCCTTTCTAATGTTCTTTGCTTTTCAAAGCAATCCTCCACTGGGGTCAATGGGAATTGCCCTTGAAAACAAGTATGTATCAGGTTTAAAAAAAAAAACAATGCAAAAATTGTAAGAGAATGAGAAAATTCCTTATTTCCTCAGGCATATCTAAGTTTGGCTTTTGTTTTTGTGTTCTTGGAACTTCTGAAATTACATTGCCCAATTTTAGCAAAAAAAAATAATAATCTTGCAAATGTTTGATTTTCTTTGGATTTCAGCCACACACACCCTTTTCTGTGCCTTTACATCCACTGATTTTGAAGAGTGGAAGTTGAAAAATTCTAGTAGAGAGGTTTAATGTTCTTATCTCACCTCTAAAGCAAGCTTTGCATTTCTGTATGTAACATCCCTCATGTTGGTCAGGTAGACATTTCCTTGTTTTCTATCATTGTTTTCCTCAGTTTAATCTTATTTTTCTTTCTTTTACTCTAACCTGTGTAATTCAAATCCTTACCTGACTTGCTCTTTCTCCATAATGGAAGGAGACACTTAGCTATAGACAAGCTTACACATTATATCATCCAAGTTACCCAGGAGCTTGTTCTTCCTGAGACCATCATCTGTGAACTATCCTTAAATATCACATTTCGATTCTTACTATGTTACAGAGCCCCTGATTATGATATTGAACATGTAAACAAGCTAAATTCACTACTAACATGGGCAACATCCTGCCCTCGCACTTTTATCTTTCTTGGTGACTTCAATCTACCTCATATTAAGTGGACCCTAAATGAATGTACAACTGAACCCATACATGCAACCTTCTACAATGGTGTTACAAATCTGGGACTGGAACAACTAGTAACTAACAATACTAGACTTAACAATTGCCTTAATCTCATCTTCTGCAATAGTTTGAATTTAATTTATGGAATACAAACTAAAGAACCCTTTTCCAACAGTGACTACAATATGATTGGTTTTGTCTCAACATACGCCCAGACAAAAATCATCACAATGATATAATCCCCAATTATAACTTCAAAAAAGGCAACTATGATCTTATAGACAACGATCTCTCATTCCTTGATTGGCAATCTCTATTCACTGGATGCAATACTGTTGAAGACCATTACAACATATTTTTACTTGAAGTCAAAAGAGTCATCAAACTATATGTACCAATAACAACTCCCAAAACAAAAAACAAAAAAAACCAACAGATTATCCATAACAATAAGGAAACTTCAATCCAAAAAGAGATCACTCTGGCGGAAAAACAAATCTGGTCACATTGCCAACTTCAAAATCCGATACAAAAATTTATGCCACCAGATAAAGACTGAATGCATCAATTATCACATTAAACAAGAGGAAAACCTTCTATGCACCAATTCCACCCACGCTTTTTACAATTTTGTAAACAACAAACTAAAAGACTCAAGGTCCATCCCACCCCTGATAGGACCTAATGGAAAAGACTGCAACGACGACACCATTAAAGCCAACCTCTTTAATACATTCTTTGGCTCAATGATCTAATACATATCAATTTTACAGAAGACAATGTTGAAAAAGCACTACAAGTAATTTACTACGCAAACAATAATGCACTACGCAATCTAAAACCATCTCTATCTATTGGACCGGATGGAATATGTGCCTACTTCTTAAAAAGGCTATCCACTGCCATAGCAGAACCTCTAAGCATAATCTTTGAAAAATCTTTCAGGACCAGCTCCTTGCCTAACCTATGGTCACAAGCCACAGTCATCCCCATCTTCAAAAAGGGAGACCCCAGCCTAGTTGAAAATTATAGACCAATCTCCTTATGCTGTGTCACCTGTAAAGTCATGGAATCAATTATTAACCAATCCATTATCCTCCACTTAGAGACAAACAACCTACTCTCTAATAAACAATTTGGTTTCAGAAAAAAACTATCCTGCAATCTGCAACTCTTACACTGCAAAAACATATGGACTACATAACTCGATCAGGGCAAAGCAATAGACGCAATCTACATAGACTTCTGTAAAGCCTTTGATTCAGTGGTACACAACAAACTACTCCTAAAACAAAATCTTATGGTATCTCTGGGCAACTGCATAACTGGATAGAAGCATTCCTGTCAAACAGACAACAAATGGTCAAAATTGGGAATGTCCTATCAAATTCTGTACCTGTCAACAGTGATGTCCCCCAAGGCAGTGTTCTAGGACCAACTCTCTTCATACTCTACATAAATGACCTCTGTGATCATATTAAGAGCAACTGCGTTCTCTTCGCTGATGATGTAAAGCTGTTTAATACCACAGACAATACTGCTACCCTTCAAAAAGACCTTGACTATTTTATTTTATTTATTTATTTATTTGATTTGCCAATTGTTTACAAGATAATAAGTATAAGTGTATACATAGTTGTGAATACAAGAAATGGGTACATATAAGAAAAATAAAAGAATAAGAGAAACAATAGGACAGGGACGGTAGGCACGTTGGTGCGCTTATGCACGCCCCCTACAGACCTCTTAGGAAAGGGGTGAGGTCAATAGTAGACAGTCTAAGGTTAAAGTTTTTGGGGTTTGGGGAAGAGACTACAGAGTCGGGTAGAGTATTCCAGACATTGACCACTCTATTGCTGAAGTCGTATTTCCTGCAATCAAGTTTGGTGCGGTTTACTTTGAGTTTGTATCTATTGTGTGCTCTTATGTTGTTATGGTTGAAGCTGAAGTATTCATTGACAGGTAGGACATTGCAATGTATGGTTTTATATACCATGCTTAAGTCAGACCGAAGACGGCGTAATTCAAGGTTTTCTAGTTCTAGAATTTCAAGTCTGGTGGCATAAGGTATTCTACATAGTATTCTACTATGTATAAGAATGGTCAAGCAAATGGCAACTTCAAATATCAACAAATAAATGCTCTGTCTTACATATTGGCAAAAAAATCAGAAAATAAAATACAAGCTGAATAGTCAAGACCTTCTTGATGATCCAAGCTCTGTAAATGACCTTGGAATACTCATCTCTAATGATCTAAGAGCTAGAGCCCACTGTAACTACATAGCCAAAAAGGCATTAAGAGTTGTTAACCTAATCCTACATAGCTTTTTCTCTGGTAATATCACACTACTAACTAGAGCATACAAAACATTTGCTAGACCAATACTCGAATACAGTTCATCAGTCTGGAACCCACATTACGTATCTGATTATTAGCACAGTTGAGAAAGTCCAGAAATATTTCACAAGAAGAGTTCTCCACTCCTCTACTCATTGTAGAATACTTTATGCCACCAGACTTGAAATTCTAGACCTAGAAAACCTTGAATTACACTGTCTTCGATCTGATCTAAGTATGGTATATAAAATCATACATTGCAATGACTTACCTGTCAATGAATACTTCAGCTTCAATCATAACAACACAAGAGCGCACAATAGATACAAACTCAAGGTTAATTGCACCAAACTTGATTGCAGGAAATATGACTTCAGCAACAGAGTGGTCAATGTCTGGAATACTCTACCTGACTCTGTAGTTTCTTCCCCAAACCCCAAAAACTTTAACCTTTTACTGTCTACTATTGACCTCACCCCTTTCCTAAGAGGTCTGTAGGGGGCGTGCATAAGCGCACCAATGTGCCTACTGTCCCTGTCCTATTGTTTCTTTTATTTTTCTTATATGTACCCATTTCATGTATTCAGAACTATGTATACACTTATACCTATTATCTTGTAAGAGTTTGATAAATCAAAATAAATAAATAAAAAATAAATAAATTATTTCCAAAATAAAGCATGCCCATTTTTCACACAAGAACCAACCTGAAGAATCCTTTTTAAAAAATATTTCTGGCTGTTTTCTTTTTCATTCATTATTTCTTCTGTATAAAGCTATTGGCTATCCAACAGTTTTAGCAAATTTTATCTCTAATTTCTTTAAAATTAGAGATAAAATAGGTAAGCTAAACTTCAATAGGCTAAATACATATACAGTTCTTTCCTTTTGGAAAGGAGGGGAAGAAATAGCTTCAGATTATAGAAAACCTTCTAATGCCATTTTTAGCTGGGAGGGATGAAACATATCTGGCCTTGAGGCCTGTTTTTACCCTTAACTTACTTTCACAACACAAACATTTGTATGTTCGTGTCATAAGCATCTTATAATATCCTGGACTGCTGAAATGAGTTCTACCATAACTTTAAGATAGATATAGAGTTCATTAGCTTTTCATCATAACAAGTACTTGATTAATAAAAGTTGGTATAAGAGTAACATTTGGATCTTGACATGAAAACCTGGTACCAATGAAAGATCAGTCAGAAATAAGGATTTGAGCAATGAAATAAACAAGCAGTCCTAATTTTGTTTAAAGGCAGAACTGCCAAGATTATTCAAAACAGCATGTTTTCTAACAGATGATGAAGAAAAACAGAATAAATTGCTTTACAATAGCATTTTGGTTTTTTTTACTAGGCCAATTTCTGTCTCATGACATACGTTTTACTTCTTCCACACTTCATAGCCTCAATCAATATGCCTGTCTCAGAGGTTTTTATTTTATGTAAAATTACACTTGCTGAGCAAACCTATTTACAATAGAAAATGTGAAGAGAAATATCAACATTGACATTGCAACAAAGCATTTACCGCATTTTGGCCTCAGCTATAATGAAAATCAGGTAAATAAATAATCTGGATACCATAAAATGTTAGCTGGCCTCTGGCCACGTTCTTTCCTCTCACATTTTCAGCTACGCATTCGTACATGCCAGCATCTTCCTGCTGAAAGTTGGGGATTTCGAGAATGCTGCTTGATTTGTGTCTCCGAGCTTTTTTGGGGATTTGCTTTCCATCTGTTCTTCTCCAGCTGATTGTAGGAACTGGGCTATTTATGAACAATAAAGGGGGAAATATGATGGTAAAGACTATGTAATTTTAAATGACATGTATACATGTATTGTCATGTATCTTTATCTTTGTCATGATTTTTGCCTATAATCACATAGCTCAAAATATTTAGTGGTGTGTCCAATGGGCATGTCCTGTGGGCCTGTACTTTGCTGACATTTATGTGAGAGGGTTCTATCCACTACATATACAATTCTGCATTTATTTTATTCTTTCTGGGGACATATAACATTAATTAAACATTTCTATAATAACATTTTTCCAATAAACAGAAATGTGATATATTTGGACATAAAGATATCTATTGCCTTTTTCAAACAGAATAATTTTTTTTCCAAAATCTATCCCTAATCCATCATTCAACTTATTTGAAACCTGTAACCTATAAAATATGGACCAGCTTCTCCAATAAGAAACTAATGACAGGCTACAAAATATAAATGCAACCTTGCTGAGAGAGAAATTTGAAATATAGTAATAAGTGTGGGATATGATGGAACATATTTCAGAGTTGGACAAACTGGTGACTAGGAGTAGGGCTAAGCACCTGCAGAAATACGATAAGTATCCTTTCCATTGAAAACATACTTACAAGTTTTATTCCTGTCATAAAATTGGCTATTTTGTATATATAAGATTCTACATAGAATAGATCTACTTGAAGCAGTGGCACTAAGTCACCAATGATTAATTTAAATTGTAATAAAAACTTGATTTCACCTAAATTTTTTCAAAATGTATAAATAGAAGTATAAACAGATTATTGTGATTAAATATACTTTAAATTTCATTACATATATAAGACAATATTGTGGAATTAAACTAACAATCATGTATTTGTCCAGATGATATGTTTAGGAGCTCAATGACAGGCTACAAAAATGAAAGTCTCTGATTTTATTAACAGCAGGTGATAGAATACACTGAATTTGATTTTTTATTACAGATCATAGATCCATCAAGCATAACCATGAAAGGAGACATTCTGAATTGATTTATCGAAATGGGACACAACATACCAGGTCTGTATTGTAGACAAACAGCAATATAGTTCCCTTATAATAAATCATTTTTGTGTTAATTTCTGACACTGAATTTTCTCACTGCTGTGGAATTCTGCAAAGTTATTTTTAGCATACAATTCATCAGGTCCTCAATATTTATTTTGTGCATCCAATTTATATAATATTTTGAATTGGTTTGTGTGGCCTATCTAGAAAAGGATCATACATCAATAACTTTTGTTATTAGATTAAATGGTTGATGGATTAGATGTAATAAAGCAGGTAGATCTTTAATTTGATTCCAGGAAGATTATACCATTTGAAGTGACAATTTGTATAGCACTGGAAAATGAGCAATTTGTTGAAAGGGTCCTGGAGCAAACATAAATTGTGTCAAACAAAAATCTCCCAATTTGGTAGACTGTGTAACTGTCTGAAAATAATTTCAGTATCACTGTGTGGTTGGCAAAAACTTACTTTCCCAGTGCAAAACACTCCAGCCTCACAGTTGTTCCTTTGGCAGATGGAACCGTTTCTGGAAATTGCACTTCGATTTTTGGCTCATATTCACCCATCACTCCTGTGAATATAAAATAGATGCTAAACTGGGTTGATTTCTGCAGTTCATATTCTCAAGTATTCCAGAGTTAACTGGGAGCATTTTATATATCATTACATGACAGTTTATCTATTAACTTCAAAGAGGACCTAACAGCCACTCAGTGAGGGCTTCGTCTCCCATTTATTGGCTAGAGAAAAAATTGGCCTGTAGCTCTTAGCAATCTGTCAATGATTAGATCTCCTCATGTGTATGTGTGTGTGTGTGTGTGTGTGTGTGTGTGTGTATCAATCAATCATTAGGTTTTCAAAAGGCACTGATTATACTTCATTAGCGTTTTGTTGTTCATAGAAAGTATACACACACACACACACACACACACACTTTCTATGAACAGCAAAGTGCTAATAAAATATAATCGGTGCCTTTTGAAGACCTAATGAAGAACTGTAGGCCACCAGAGATCCAAATAATACCAAGAGACAAATTATCTTCAATGGAGTTATACAGGTTTTACTGCCTTTGTAAATCACTGATCATATTCATTCTTTTGCATGAATAAAATATATCTAAATATTGGTTTGCATAAGAAGTTGTGTTTATGCTCAGTCAACATAAGCTGAAACTGATTCCACTAGGGGTTCATGTGATTTCCTAGAGAATAAACTCATGAGCATTACATTATAAATTTTAGGGGGCATCCTTTGTATTTATTCTTGTCCACCTATAGGGATCAATTCAAGATTAAGTATAATAGGAAAACTGCAATTGTAAGGCATTGAATATGGAATTAAGATTCAAAAGTATCATTTTCCAAAGTACAGTTTTCAGACAGCTGGAATCCCTGCATCTTTGATTTTGAGCCATTATGACTGCTTATGGAGGATGCTCCCCTGTTGGCTGGCTTATACTCTAAAGTGATCTGTTGATGTTTTATCCATGGAAACAGATAACAGCAGCTGCCTCCTGCATGGAATGTTAACCCTAGAACTATGCAGAATGCAAAGCTACTTCAGCTGCAGAAAGGGAACCAGTAAAACAGCTAAAAACAAGACTGAATTTGAATAAAGAAAAAAATAATAACTAAGAACAAAACATTTTTTTCTATCTTGTTTGTTGAAAATTGACATGCCACAAGAGTTACCAAAAAAAACAAAAAACCCCAAAAACTGAAGCGTGACAAAGTATAAAATAAATGTCAAGTAAAGATCATACGATGTGTAAGTCTATCAATATTTAGTGCTGTTTTTATTGCAATTCCTATTGCCTTATTCATTTATTTGTTTGTTTGTTTATGGAATGTGTATTTCTTAGAAACTAACTCATATAACTGTTACTCTAATAGGTGTACATCGAGTGAATAACATAGAATTACACTAAGATTACAATAAGCTATAACTTCCACTAACATATTCAGAAACGATCATGTTGATATTTTCCAGTTCAAGAAGATTCATATTTATTTTTTTGTTTGTTTATGTATTTGTTTATTTATCAATCAAGGGTATATAGCCACTCATCTCACAAAAGATAACTTTGGGTGGTCCACAATATTTGATAAAACAAAAAAATATAAAAACAGCAAATGCAAATATAAAAACCCATACTAATAAATCTTCTAAAAACTCCAAATACCAAACTCTAAGTGAAGAAAAAAAAAGGCACCCTAACAATGGAGCCGTCTAGATAAATCTCTGGTTATGTGGGAGCCTCACATATCTAAGTTTGAGAAGCTTTCAGAATTTCAAAACATTGAAATTTAATTTTTTTATTCCCCCAATGCTGAAAGATCGGGTCTGTTTTGGGAATCAATAAATATTACGCAAGACAAATATCATAACAACATCAAATATGTTACAATTTTATGATTAAAGTATACTCATCACACACACACACACACACACACACACACACACACACACACACACACA